TGCTCACTGGGCACGGGGTTCACTGGGAGGCAGGTCTCCAGCTGTCAGCTGCAGTTGCAGGCTTGGGACCTGTGTGCCGTCGTGGGGCTGGGCCTGGCTGCCAGTTTGCAGCTGCACAGTTAACTTCTCTCTGGCTTCCTCTGCTGCCCTCTGTGCCCTCCGTATCTCCACATTTCTCTTTTGGGCCTCCAAGGCCTTGCAGGTCTGGGCTTTGTTTTGCTCGGCCTGCTCTTCTACAGTTAGATGCTCCAGCCGCTACCACTTCTTCTTTGGGGCCTCAGAGGGTGTAGAGTCCTGGTTCATCTGAGGGCACATCTGCTGCCTAGCTTTGCCCCCGGTTGCCCGTTGCCTGCCACCTGGCTCCTTTCTACCTGCTGTGAACAGGAAGGTGGGGACTGTATTGGCTTCAGCTGTTGGTGGCTCTTGCTCCCATGGTGCTGCCAGTGTGGTGTCATGCTCCCTGTGGGTTGTGGTTTCCTCTTCCACCACTGTGGGGCCAACCTGTGCCCCTAACCCTTGTTGAGCTGCTGCCGCTGCTGTGGGGCCTGGCTGTTGTGGGGCCACTGGTGGCAGCTGCAGCAGCAAGGGTGGTGGTGGGGGCGGGGCCTGTAGCTGGGGCAGGGCCTGCAGCTGGGACGGGGCCTGTGGCTGGGGTGGGGCCTCCAGCTGGGACAGGGCCTGCAGCTGGGCCGGGGCCTGTAGCTGGGGCGGGGCCTGCAGCTGGGGCGGGGCCTGCAGCTGGGGTGGGGCCTGCAGCTGGGGTGGGGCCTGCTGGGGTCCCACCATTGCAGCAGTTGCAGGGGCCGCCTGTCCTGGCTGTGCAGGGATGGCGGGGTTGCTGGCTGCATGATTGGTAGCTGCTATGGCAGCTGGGGTGTTTGTGGCCATGGTAATGTTGGTGGCGGTTACCCCAGCCACATTGGTGGTGGTGATGGCTGATGCAGGCGGCACGGGTGGGGGTGTGACATATGGCTGCAGCTCCAGGTTGAGCCCCCTCCCCATGGGTGCTAGCTGGGGTCCTGCTCCATGGCTGCCTCCATGCCCCACCTTGACTGCATCATGGCCGCTGCACACGAGGGCCCTCCCCCATTTGAGGGGCCTGATTGGCCCGGGGCAGCAACAGGCTGTGCAGTACAGCCCTGCCGTTGCATTTGCTGTAACTGCTGTGTCTGACACACCAGCTCCTTCCGTGGTGGTGCTTTGCATGGCATAGTGAAGGGTCCCTCCTGATTGTTCCGCTTCAGTCTGGAAGCCCTCAGTATGCCAGACCTGGTTACCACCCCCACCCTGCCGAGTTCGTAGTGTTTTTCACCCAGTAGACCGGGGGTGTCCTGCACCACCTTGATTAGCCAGGTGTCTGCCATTAGGGTGGGATTCAGCTCATGGATGTCTGATTCATCCCACCAGAACCACGGAGTGGAGTAGCAGACGGCAAGGAAACCAGGGATGGCTCTGGGATCCAGATTGGTGGGAATCCCCTTGATCTCCCAGTAGGGCCATTCTGCCTTGTACAGATTCGTGATGGGTAGCTCCATTTCCACCAGGGGGCTGCTGGGTAGGAGATGGACTGGCCCCAGCTGAAGCCATCCTCTCCGGACTGCTGGCGAGGTGGTAAGCATTGCGAGACCACCTTTCCAGATCAAGATGCTGATTTCTTGCACCTTCATGTTGCTGGGGAGTGCCCGTTGTGGGCATTTGCTGATTCACGGCCCGAGCAGCCCCTCTGCCTCTACGGGCGGTATTATCGCCCGTAATCTGTTTACAATGGCCTTGCCCACTGGTCCATGTAGCTGGGCTTGTATGTCCGCAGGGTCGGAACCAGCCAATGGATTTCCATTGTAACCTGGTCCTGTTCCATATAAAGTGGGGTTCCTTCTGGAATCGTGCCCATTATTATGTCGGTGTCCACAAACTTTCGTTCCGCTTGGGCGCGGCTTGGTTGTGGGCGAGCAGCTGGGGCTGTCGCCCGTCCATTTGAAAGTTCCTTTGGTGAGGAGGTCCGCGCCTGCCCATTTTCTGCCATTCTGGCCTATATTAACTCAAGCATATTTTTCGAGAGTTCTCCGTTTTTGCCGCGGTCGGCGAGGTCAGCCATAGGCAGTTCGCGGTCGCGTTTTAACGAATATTACATTTGCTTTGTTGTTGTTGTTACGTACATTGTTGGCTGTAGGTGTGACACCGGCATAACGAGCCTCGAATTAAGGCAATAAAAAGCATTTAGTTAATAACCATGGTCTTGCAACCAGAGGCTTCATACCTCCGAACGTGGCCTGCCACTTCCCTTTTGAGCCGGCCGGCTCTTGTTCATATCCTTACCACCATCCTTGCGCTTGTCCTGTTCCTTGCGATTCTCCTTCTGCTCGCTCGTGTCCTTGGAATGTAAGATGGCAAGGCATAATGTCAGTGTATGCACCTGCTAGATGGCAGTTTACTGCTGGTGCCGTCTAGTCCCCCTTTTCCTGCTTCCCGCTGCTTGCCTGCAAATGAATGGTGCACCATTATAGAGGAAGAAAGACAGATTCTTGTTATGAAGATGCTTAATCATTGGGCTTTACCTTACACTGTCGTCATTGAGGGATCAGCGTGAGTGTAAGAAATGCATACGCGCTGAACATGAAATTCAAGATAAGCTTACCAGCTTAATGCGCGCAATGAACCACGGCCCTGGGGACACCGTGTCCCGGACACGGGCAGCATTGGGCCTTACGCCCAACTAACCCATCTTACTTAATGCAAGCTCGCATTTATTATTGCGTCAGAGACAAATGCCAAAGGAGAAGATATCCCCTCTAGCGGTTGAAATACTGAACCACCAAACGGTGCATCGCGCCGACCCGCAAGAGGGCCAAAGAACGCGAGAGCTGCCAGACAGGCGCGCACACCGAAACTTCCGAAGCCAAACGCCTCGAAGGACCTCCAACGACACCCCAGCAGCAGGGACAGCGGACACGCCACCTCTACTCAGGCAAAAGAGTGAACAAACCAAACGCAAAGAGCCAACAGACTGACCCACCGCCACCGACGCGACGGATCACTCAGAGGGTTGCAAAGATTGGGGATTGGGTGCAGGTACTGGTCATTTGGGACGGGGAATAGGGTGACGACGTCAGGATGGGATGTGGGGCCCAAGGCAAGGATTAGGGATTACACGTGCTACACTACTTTTAGGATGGGGATTGCTGTCGGGGTGAGGATGGGGATGGGAACCCTGTCAGAGGGATGGGGATTGAAACCTTGACCAAGGATGGGATTGGGAACCCTGGCCAAGGATGGGGATTAGACCCTGGCTGACAGCTGTTCCTCCGCATTTAAGCATACGAAGTCTACGCAACATGCATGACCCTGCTCTATTGAGCGATGCCCAAAACAGTACTTATGTTTACTGGAACGTTAGCCTCTGGCAAGAGCAACGCACTCGGTATGCTGTTACTGCCAAGAATGCGCGAATGTGATTGAATACGTTCTCCTAAGTTCCTATACGTTCCTACATTATGGGTACCCACTTCATGGCTCCAAGCCTTAAGCAATTGCTTGCTTCAAATTATGTTACAAATAACGTGTTTTGGTAAGTTTGTTAGACTGCCGTCGGCAAACCAGCAGATCAGCCAGGCGCGGCCATCACAGTCGCAGATGCACCAGACCTGACCAAGGATAGAGTTGATCCAGGTGTGCGTGTGTGATGGATGAAGTTATGTAGCAAAGCCTATGGGGTTCATCGATCGGACACCGCCAACCCCAACCCCAAGCAAGACACCTGGGCTGGCCAACATGGTCGACGGCAGCAGTGGTGCAAAAGCCGCTGAGGCGCTGGATGCAGCTGTGGACTGATGTTGCGGACAACACCATTGGATAAGTTGCGGCACATGATGGCTGTGCAGCTGCTGTGCTCCCAGAAAGTGCCTCGCTGCCACGTGGGTCGCCCACCGGGATGTTTGTTCCGTCTACACAGTTGGGCGCTAGCGAACTTCAAGAGTAGCTGGTGGCATTTGCTTTCCGTTTTGAGTGTCCATCCTAATCGTCAGCTGCTGAATGCTTCCCCGCCAAGTAGTGTTACATACACGTTGCCATGTGTTTTGGTGAGGTGACGCGCCTCACAAGTGTGCCCAATGCCGCGGTCGTACTCATGTTGGCGCGGGATAATTAAAGGACGAAGTGCTTTGTAGCAAACGGGCATGCGTGGTGTGTAGGCAAGTTTCGTTGTTTGGTGTAACGTTTGGAGGGATGTGCAGATGTGTACAGGGATTCAACCCATTTGCGCGCCATGGGTAGCCAGGTTCGCTGCTTTGATCGGAGTCGGTGAGGTTGTGTGATGCGCGAGGTGTGACATTGCAAGCGCGAGTGCAGCAGTGGGCGTTGTATGTGGGCGCTAAGTTTTCTCCAGCGGTGCAACGAACTTTGCCTAATTCGACGGTTACCTGTATTTCCCTACATGTAAGAGCTCGGAGTCATGCTTCTATGTCATCTCTGTACTTTGTAGTCAAGCATCACTATACGGCGGTGGTAAAACATTGACGAACAGCAGCCGGTCGTGGTGCAAATGACATCAATGAAATACGCGTATTAAAGGCCTCAAACACATCAATTTACTTTATCATGAAAGTGTTCCTCATATAAATTTAAAGTGTCACTAGCCAACCAAAAAATGGGCCACTCATTCGTGACTGCTACCAGTACAGCTCCTTAACCTTGAAATGGCGATAGACAGTGTTGAATATCTGTCATTTTGTGCATCCCATAAACGGCTAATTTAAATTTTACATGACACGGGAGACCAGGCAAACTGCGGCCTGCCTTGAGTTTCAAGTATAAGACGTTGAATGACCCAACGTATTGGGGACATTTCTAATAAAGTCCGACAGGTTGTACGCAGCAGCATTGCCTCGAACACAGTGCCCCGTCCAGCTGCCGGATTCTACGCAGCATGGAAAGCGCTTTGCATGGTTCTGGGTCTCCTTATAATAGGGGGACACAATGGCTTCAGCGCTTGCAGAGGCAGCACGATGGCTCATTTCGTATCCGGAACAGGTTCTTCGCGGCTGGGACAACACCGACATGGCCGGCTGCTTGTCAGCAGCTCTGGAGTTGCAAATGTATCAGATGGCCCCCTCTTTGTGGCCGCCTTGCGGGATCCAGCTGTCAAGCGTATCGTTCTCACTTCTCCACTGATCGATGTCCCGCCTGATACCTGGGAGGCGGTCGGCAGCAACCTGCCCATCCCCATTACCCGCAACTTGACGTTGGAAGGAGACGAGGCGGACTGGCCACTCCTGCGCCTCCATTACGTGAGGGACGTGGTGAGCAAAGACGGGGGTGCTGTACATACTTAGGTACAACATTGTGTTATTTCATGCACGCACATACGATTGTGTGTTATTGGTGCAAGGGTGGTGCATGCTTACTAGGGACCCACGCCTCTATCCTCTTTCCTCGATGGTCACTAGTGCTGATATCACAACAAGAGGACAGCGTGCACCATACACCCTTTCACACACACCTTTCACACCTGCCAGCCAGCTAGTTGCCAGGAGGTATTTATGATGCCTAAAAAGGATGTCAAGCCGGTGCTATCATCTATGGTTTGAATGGTAAGAGTGATGAGCTTTCTGTGCAATATATGCATGTTATGCTGTTGCTAGGCTGACAATATCCCACATTGCTGCCATACTTACATGCATGTAAGTATAGTATATGAGATGTACATATGTACATCTCATCCGCCACTCTTGCATTCCTTGTCATGTATCACCAGGTTCGGCTCATGGACACGGTCATCTGGGCTATGCGCTTCCTTTTCCTGGACAGCGCAAACGGAGACAACAACTATCGTGAACAGGGCAAGTTAGCTGGCGTTACTTGCTTGGCGGTGTACACATGCTGTAAGAGTACTCAGTTGGGAGATGCCAGGGGAGCTGATCCCTCTCACATTCCTCCCCCCCTCGAGCGAACGTCCTCGGGCGCCCCCGGGCATATCCCGTAGGATTTTAGGTTGTTTGAGATCCCGTAGGATTGTGAGTTTGTTTATTATTGACATTTCGTCAGTCCCCGTCCGAGATGAAGGACTTCGTTTTTACTCAGCTGGTAGACTTCTCACCCGCCCGGGCATCCACCAGGGTAAGAGTATGCTGCATCGTACCTGGTGTGCGACATGTTCGCGACCGGATTCGATCCGGGGAGTTCCCACCTCCTAGCAATTCGCACCAATGTAACACCAGGCAAAGAGTACTCAGTTGGGAGATGCCAGGGGAGCTGATCCCTCTCACACATGCATGCGTGCAGCCCGGAAAGCCACAGCTGAACCGCAGCTATTACAACTGCTGCTCGTGTTGTAATAGCTGCTGTTGCTCCAGGACAGAGGTGCCGTACATGCCACACGCTGGTAGTAAATGCTGGCTGCTGCACCAGGCTTCACTCACCTCTCCTCCAACTGTAGCAGTCTCATAAGCGCTGCACAAGGATGACTAACCCATCACACCAAGCAATTCGATAGCAGGTTGACACTGGCTACCTCAATGTGAGTCGATGAGGCTCGCTACTGCCAGCAGGCGACGGCCCCATCACTTTATTGCATGTACAGCCATGCATGGCAAACTGATTGACCGATGTTGTGCAGGCTTTTCCTTCCTGGCTCCCACGCTGCCAAACCAAGCGTCAGAATTGCAGCTCGGGCCAGCAGCCTTGTCAATGAGTAAGTCTTAGGGTCAAGTAAGTCTAACCAGCCATGTGTACCTTGATGCCCAACATCCAGTACAGCCACACACGCATGCATCCACCTCCATGTGCTGATGATTTACACTTCTTTCATCACTGGTATTAGAGAATGCATGCACGTGTTGACGTGGGCATGAACATATCATTTGCACTGGTATGCCAGCACTCACTATGCATATGCATACTGGTAATGAGCAAGAGGCCAGAAAGTCTATTCTTGCAGCATGTTGCCTGGAGCATGCACTCTTGCATCCATTCACACATGGATAATCCCGTTAGCTGTGTTCTGTCGCCATCAGCAGCATCAGCAGATATCACTATTGCAGCGGTTGCGTTGGTATGGTGTGGGCTTCTTCAGCAGGGCGCATGTAATGTAATGTAATGTGGTTACAGAGTGGGCGGCTTCTGGGCCAATCGGTGGCCCATGTGTGTGGTGACGGGTTTCATTCCTGCTGCACCCGCGTGTGTCGCCAGGGTTCTGCTTCCCAACTGAATTGCAGCTACAAACCGTTAAGGCAGTCAAGCCGCCGGCGAAATACCCGCATGCCAAACAGCTGGTCGAGCTGGGTTACCAACATCCGGAGGTAGGTGGCTAGGTTGCACGCATCACCTGCGTGCTCGCAACATTACCTTGTGCTCCCAAGGCCTGCATGGCAGCTTGCTTGCCCAGAGGTAACATGTTTCTGTTACAGAGTGGGAGGCTTCTGGGCCAATTAAACACTGCCATCCACCATTTTCACACTGTACTATGCATACGAACTGGAATTCCAAGGCGGATGATTCTGCCTAATAGAATCCTCATCATCATGGTCACCTGAACATCCATAGAGACAGAGGGTTCAGCGATCTCACCACCGGTCCTGCATGCGAATCTCGGTCCATGAACCTCCTATTCCTCATCCCCGCAGCTAGCCATAATCTCACACTCCCGACAATGTTGGGGGTCTACCCAGGAATCAAATCCAGGACCTTAAACCGCAAATTGCAGTAGTGCTTCCAGACCAGACCAGACCGGGGAAATTGTAGCATCAGGCAAAGAGTATTCACGGTAGTGAGATGCCAAGGGGATCTGATCCCTACTGACGTTCCTCTTTCCCTAGTCACACCTCTAGGGCGCCTCGGGGCATATCCTGTAGGGCTTTTGCTTACGTATGCATTCATCATCTTGCTGGTTAAGCCTTGATCCCTGTCTGCAACAGGGTGGCTGCCGCAACGGGTCCTCTGTGCCGCCACTACAACGATGTTGGCCAGATGGTGCCCTCGTAGTGGATGTGGCGGGTGACGGCATCCGCATTGACCCGTCCTCAGACCAGGCCGTCCTCACAAACACCATATTCTATTTTCAAAATGTCACCCTCCTGTGTGAGCACCCCGTGAGCACCACGTGCCTCAAAGAGCAGCAGGCCGAGCCCCTGGTCTGCTTCCAGAAAACCAAGCGCCAGTTTGAGAATGTCACGACGTCTTTCTTAGACGATTACCGACCAGATCTGCAGCTTCAGGCTCTTGATGGTAATGCCTCTTCACCACAAGTGAAGCAGACGCAGCGGCAGGACAGCACACTGCCGGTGGCAAGTGGCATGGAGGAAAACCAGGCCCGCAGCCGTGCAGTGGTAGTAGGGGCTGTATTGGCAGGTGGGTGGGTGATGCTGGACAGGGCGGTGTGGGCAGAAAGACAGCGGAGTGAAGTGAACATGCATATTCTGCACATGTCACATGCCAGGTGGTTCGAAATGTTGTGCAGGGAGCATGTTTCTTGCTCCTGTCATTCAGGTTGCGCTTCTGTAGCAGCTGACCGCTTCTACAGCTTCTAAATATATTTCTGGAGAAGCTAAACCGTAAGGACAAGATAAGGATTAGAGATCGCAAGGTTGCAGATCAAATACAAGACGGAACAAATGGTTTAAAGAGTGCAGCTTGTATAGCCTGGTAGTAGGGTTCGAGTCCGCCCCGGCTACTGATGGCGGGTGGCTTGAGCATCCAACCAGATGCCAGTGGGCACGTGCCTACCATGAGATGACATGTCATCTCGTACACATCCAGACATGAGCTCATGATCATGACCTGTTCATGCATGCAAACTTAACGTGTATGCAGGGACTGTGGTTACCTTGTCCCTATTCTTGTTGATGGTGGCGGCTGCTGTGCACTCAAAGCGGCTGCAGGAATACTGCAAAGACGTTGGCGGCAGTCGCGCGACCATGAACATTCTTTCTTTTTGGACGAACATCTTCGGTCGCAGCTGCCTTGAGTCGAGAAGGTAAGGGAGATTGATTTTGTCACACATTCACATGCGCATACACACCCAGTCGCTCCCACCACCTAGTTTCTCTTCTCCACTATAGTGCCGCTTGTTTGTACGGATTTTTGATATCACACTTCTGTTCAACATTCAAGCAACGACTACCGTTTCCTATTGAAAAGTTTTAAGACTTCGCTGGACTACGGAGCTCACTTTGGTAAAGTTATTCTCGTGTATCCCCATCGGCACTTCCCTCATCGCGTCTCAGATCATTAAAACACATGCACACGCACGCTTTTGTGAGAAGCTAGCAGCACATAGCCCAGCGTTTGTTTATGCGGAATCTATGGGGGTGTTTCCACTTGGATTAAAAGTCGCGGATTAAGGTATTTTTAAGCCGCGCCAATCCACCGCTAATCCGTCGGAGTGTTTCATACGTCTGGATTAAGAAACGGATTGAAGTACGACACTTGCTCATTCCGTGCATAAAATGCAAAAACGAGTATTGCCAGACATTTAAAATACTATCGAGTATCAACATGAAGGCCTTGTAGCACCTTTGAACGACACCCACGGTGTGGTGCATAATGCCGAACAAGAAGCACAAAGCTTCCACAAAACTAGGAACACCTACAGCCTTTATAAAGGATAACCTTCCAACCTATCACTCAGGCTTTTTATGAGGCGTCGTGAAAAGTGTTAATCCGAGATTGTCAATTTGATACCTGGTGGCCACCAAGTAGCAAATTTTTCGCACCAAGTTTGAGCTTTTAGTATAGGCAGAAAGCTCGCATTTCATAGCATATTAATCTATAATTAATCCGCGAAGCGCGTGAATACGGACGGAAATCTCTAACTAATCGCGCCAACCTTAATCCGCCTAATCCGTCCTAATCCGCGCGATGTTTCCATATGCGACGGATTAAGCCTTAATCCGCGACTTTTAATCCAAGTGGAAACACCCCCTATGCCGAATTCGGAATAAAAAATTGTCCGTGGTCCTGAAAATTAGGAATAGATAATATTCCGACTGTACAAGCTTGTACTTGAGTTCATTCCTCCAGCCAACAAAAATGGGGTGTCTATGCCAAAGCCACTAGAATCCTACAGGAGACACACATGTGAGCCATATCACAGCACTTTAATGCCATGGATACTGTTAGGAAGGTCACGCCCTGGAGTCAACTAGGAATCGGACTGTTTCTGACTGGACCAAACACTGCAAAATATTCGGATCTGTAGCTCCCTAAGCGTGGCAGGCCATTAAAGCAGAAATTAAACTTCGCTGAAGCCAATAGCATCGTTGATGAAGACGATGTAGAGGTCATAGCCAATGTGGACACAATGCTGCAGCCAGCCGACGACAATGATGCCAGCCCGGTTGCCAACAGGGAGCAAGCCAAACGTCAGCATTCGTTATATGGAGACAATTATGATGGGCCAGGAAACACGGGCATCATTTGTGATGGCAGCAGCGACCCCTAAGACACCTAACCCCGCACTCTGCATCACAAAGACGCCCCCACCTTAGATGCAGCGGATCGTGAAGGGGCAGAGCGACGGCGTGTGGTTGGAGAAGAAGGACAAGCATCCCCTCAAGTGGCATTTGTACTTCGGAGCCATGTTTCCATGGGTGCAGTGCTTTAAGGCGGATGTGAGTAAGGAGAAGGTGCACGACATGGTGTGCTGCAGCCCATGCTCCATGCACAAGGGGATGAACTAAAGGGGAATCCCCCAAGGGGAATGTCATTGAGTGCCGGAGGGAGACCCTTGTGTCACATGATACCTCCACCGGGCACATGAAGGCCGTCAATGCAGCTCAGCTTCGGGAGGGGGAGCTGGCACTGCAGAAGCTGAAGATGCCGAACCTGGAGCAGCTCTTCATGCCTGGTAACTCCGAGGCAGAGCAGGCCCGCCTGCAGCAGTTCCGCTTCCTCTACTGGCAGCTGGTGGGGGGCTGCCCCATGGTCTGTGTTTGCTTGGGCTCTGCAAGCCCTTCGAAACAGCAGTCGCCCATGCAATCGGGCTTCTTGTCAAAGTGTCTATGTGCACGCCGCTTCCTGGTGTGTAAGAGACACCTTTCTGGGGAGATTGTGGTGTGTGCATGTTGCGGCATTTCCCAAACCTGGCGTTTGTACGAATTAAGCTGTAACTGATGGGGGGGGGGTCTGGGGCCTTACAGATTAGGAATACTTTTATTCCCGCGATTGAAGACCTATTCCTCCTTTCAACTGGAAAGGGCAAAAATGAAAAAAAACTGTCATAGCCCTATTTTTGTAGTAGCTACGAGTTTGTGATATGGGATGACTTAAGGGGGGACCACCCTAGATCATTAACTGGCGCCGTAGCAATCCTTTGTGGGGTGGTGTGTTTGGGTCATGCCTTCCTAGTCGCTCATCCATTCATAACAAACGCTGCTGGTCACCCATGTAAGCCGGCCGTCGTGCATCATGGCTGGTATGCTTGCACTTTTCCTTCATGTGATGTCTGCTGCCGCTAGCTCTCAGCTGTTCCCCATCCAGCCGCCATTGCTGCTGTATGTAACGTATGTGTGTATCTGCCAACAGTCGCCCAGGCCCAGCCTCTAAGCTGAACTTTACTGGTACTGCTTACGAGAACGGGAGCGGTGGAAGCGGGGCCTCATCTGCGACCCCTCGTAACCACCTTCCCAAGTCAGGTGAGTCCGCCAGTCAGTGAGTTGCGACCTGGCTGCTGTCTGGCTGCGTTGCATGCTGCGGCGTCCTTGCCTGACAGGATATTTTGGTTAGGTCGTCAAATGATGAGGTACTTCAGTTCTCGGCGGTGATTACCATACAATGTAACTACTGATAGATGCTGGCTGCTGCCTGTCCATCCATCCGCCATCTATGGCCACATGGTTAATATTCCTAACCACTGCTGCACGCAACCGCTCACCCTGGCATGTCCTTCCCTGGTACGACTATTTCGCTTACCCCCCTACTACTGCAATACCAGAAGTTGCAGCGAAACCAGAGGAAGTGCAGCCTGGCGAGCAGCAGGTGGTTGGCACCGAGCCGACCGTGGTGACGCCTCTGGAACAGGCTGCCGTGGTCATCACCCCAGACACGCGGCCACAACCCAACCTGGAGCTGCATGTGCGGTTAATGGACCCCGCTGCTGAGGCTGAGGCTGGCGACAGCAGCAACAGTCCCACAGCAGGTGCTGTCACAGGTGTCGTACCCCTGCACTCGAAGGAGGAGGAGGTCAGCGGCAGTGGCAGCGGCAGTGCTGGTGGTGGTCCTCCCTGTAGTGGTAGCAATGTGGTGGAGCTGTCTCCGGTGGTATGCGGCAAGGGCACCTTTGGTCGAGTGGTGGAAGGTACTTACCGGGGGCAACGAGTGGCAGTGAAGCTTCTGGCCAGCGACGGACCCTGGGGATGCCCCGTCGAGGCCTTGGCCTCCAGCTTTGCGCAGGAAGTGCAGGTAGGGTGCATGGGGGTGGGTTGGGGGTAGGTGCGGCTGGGTTTGACTCCCCCCACACCACGCATAACATGCAGGCATGTGCTCATCAGCCAATGCTGTAACCGCGTGCCACTCCTCACAAGTCCACGCTTGTAGGTAGCCAGGTGTGTCGTGCAGTGACGAAGTAGTGCATGCTACTGGTGCGCTACAGTTCCTGACAGCGACTCGGTACATCACCCTCGATCCGTAAACTTAGGTGCTGAGCCGCTGTTACCACTCAAACATTGTGCGACTGCTGGCGGCCTGCGTGGAGCCGCCACGGTTGTGTTTGGTTCTGGAGCTTATGGAGACTTCACTGGAGCGCCTTATGTACGGAGACCTGACAGCCCGGCCGATGCCACTGCCGAAGGCAAGCTTGCATGGTATCAGATGGGCGGGATAGCGCCAAGTTGGAATGAGACGCTAATAGTCACACCCTAATAGTCAGCTATCCATAAACGAAACTATATTTATTCATAAACATACAAAGCATAATGCTTTTACAATATTTCATGTTGTAAGAGTGGTTGTTTGCTGCAAACATTTAAGCCTTCAGCTGCCCAGCCACATGCAGGTGTGCATCATGCATGTATGATGTGTGGAACATAGGGTATATCATCACCCGTGGCAGCTACCCTGCAAAACCCTGCCTTCCCCGGTATTTCGGGGCACCCTCATCCCGTTTCCCTAGTCAGCTTCTCGGTGGACTGCTCAGCATCCAACCCGCTCACCCACCACCAGCATCCAACGGAATCTGCCGGATCAACGACGTCCCAACTCCGTTCCTGGTCGGCTCGCAGGTTAACTTTATCCCAACTAGGGGCACTTTACCTTCCACCATCGGAAGGATTTTCGACCCTGACAGGTCCCAATCCCGGGATCTCCCAGGGGCAATGGTCCGTGCCTTACTACTAGTGCCTAACCTATGTTTGTATGTATGCAACTAGGCCGAATACTTTAGGATGACCCGCTTGCATTTGGATGTTTGTTGCGTATGCATGACCCAATGGACGTGCAATGTAAAACTCAACGTCAAGCCGCTGAAGAAGGGGTGAGAGGCTTACAGGGGAGAGCAGGAAATGGCGATGGGGTTTATGAGCTACCTCGCTGATGGGGATTTCTGTCCCCCCACACGTCGACAAAACACCGTGTACGACATCCCAATCAGGCACCTGCTGCCGGACTAAGTGTTTCCTAAAAAGGTGACCGACCGACCAATCAACAAGCTGCCTGCTGCCCTGCATGGCTGCTGTGCCATTCTGCTGTCACAACTACATCAGGTGCTTCATATCGCCATATCCATTGCCAACGCACTGGCCTACCTGCACCCCACCATCAGTCACCGGGATCTCAAGGTACGGTGTCGTACAATTGTCTCGCGCATCTAGGTGTAAATGGGTTGTGAAATTAGGAACTATTCAGATCAGAACTGCTCAACCCGCTCGGCACCTTCACCTTTGCTGGACCCCTCCTTCCTATCGCTACCTGATACCCCCTCCTCTTGCCCTTGCCCTCGTCCGACTGGCGCCTCTGATGTGGTGCTGGGGTATGGGAGGCGTGGAGTGCATCCGCACTTGGAGCTTCATGTGGCTCATTTCTGACCTCCCTTTTGCCCTATCGTCCCTGTACCTTCTGCCTGCCCTTCTCTCACCTATCAGCCTGCCAACGTGCTGCTCAACGACCCCCACAGTGACCTGCCCACAGTTAAGCTTACGGTACGTGACTTGTTGCGAGTTGTCGCTGTCGTACTGAACTCTTTAAATAGTGGCATAGGGTTTCGTCTTTAGCCTGTATGCGGTACATGGTGCCAAGGGCGCCTTCACCCCCCCTTAGTTGCAATTACCGCACCCTGCATGCGTGCCTTGTTAGTCAGCCAACAAGCCAGCTGATTAAGGGTCCCACATATTTGTTCACAGAAATGGGCTCTTCCCTTCCCATGCAATTTTCAGTGGGTTGAGGTGGAAATGTGTCGACATCGACTGCTCGTGGGGGCTGTAAAAAGGGTTCAGCTCCCTTGGCATCTCCCTGGGTACTCTTTGCCTGGTGTTACATGGGCGCCTAGGGATTCACCCGCTTCCCAGCTGCCCCTACGACACACCAGTTACATGCCGTATGAAGCTGCCGTACCGCAACTCTATCGATTCCTGCAGGACTTTGGGCTGTCTCGGCTTCGTGTGACGGTGGCTCCAACGGAGCATCCGGATGTGGGCACGGTGAGTGGGCGGGTGGCGGCAAAGTGAATGAGGCGACAAGTACCGCAGGATTAGGGAACGTTAGACGGCCAGGACGGGGGCAGTGGATTCACACAATCCAAATACGACAAATTGGGGCCCTATGGTGGGACTAACTGTACTCGGCTCCACAGTAGCTCAGGAAGCCTCATTGTGAGCCTCTATCTACTCGCCTGTAAACCCTCATTTACCGGTGTGTACGGCACTTCTGATGGTCTGAAATCTGACTGCCCAATCTGCCCACCTTACGTGACAACAACTGCCATACAACTGCGGCACTCTACCTCACCCCAGCCCGCCTACATGGCACCGGTGAGTTCATTCACTGTGTTGGGGCTCCGTGGCTGCTGGGTCCGGGGGTGCGGGAGGTGGGGGAGGTTGTGATCGTCTTGCTTGTCCATCAGGTATTCCGTTCATGTATTGTTTTTTAACCAATTTGGTAGTTGGTAATGTAACAGCGGAGTAAGGTGAGGGTCCCAGCGATGTTGGGTTGGGTTGGCAGTCACTATTGGTGATCAGTATTTCGTTCTCGCAGGTACACATATGCGGCCCCTATTGATCCGTGTTGTGTTGCCAGTCTCCCGAAACTGCCTGCCGGCATCTGGTTGGATGCTCAACCAACCCGCCATCAGGCACTGAGCCTCTGAGGTGCCATGAAGTGCACGCCTCAGGCTGTGCATCTAACCGTGGCACAGGGCCACTAACCAGCCGGGGGCAGACTCAAACCCTACAGGAAACATTATGCCCTGGTCTGAATTCAAACGGATATTGCAATCGCAAATCCGCTTCCTTGGCTTTTCAGGCAATGTTGATATATGTCGACCTTATAAGGAGTCCTAAATCCCCTATCTTCCTGTACCTGGTTAATACTTCTCCCAACCCCTGGTGCCGCCCAACACCCGCCCTTGCTGCGTGCATATGCCCGCACGCAGGAGTGCTTCGACTTGCAAAACAGACAGGTCACACATAAAGCGGTGAGGGAGGGACCCAGTGACGGCGTGAGGGAGAGAGGGGCAGGGTGGATGAGGGGACCTACTTTCATACCGCAGTGCGGGAAGGGGTATCTCGTATCCCAGATGCAGGTCGTATCCCAGATGCAGGGAGCTATTAGGCCGACGATTTAAGTGCCCTGACCCGATAAAACCGTTCACCTGGGCTACTTGGCTGGCAGACGGCCTGCAGTACAGACCGTTTTTGTGCTTATCCTGTGCCCGGGTCCAGCAAGCACGCAGGCTAGGCCGCATCGTGCCACAACCTAGCTGGCCCCGCCATCACTGACAATAAGGCAAGCAAGCAATGGCTGGCGTCTCCGCATGGTCAGTGTATCCCACGTCTCTCATCATGGCGCCGTAGCCATCATGTTTGTGTGTGTTGTCGTGAAGGTAATGACGCCTCCACCATCGCCACGCACCCTGCTGCGCCCTCACCAGGACATATTCGCGCTGGGTGTGCTGCTGTGGGAGATGCTGGCCTGCAGGAGGCCCTGGCCTGGACTGAACCCGCTGGAAATCGGCCTGATGGTGGGTGCATGCGTGCATGCATGTGGGGATCTCTGCTAACCGTGCTGTAGTGATGACATTGGGCGAGCTCCACTGCCTACGAAGGTCATGGCTGAATTGTAGCCGCAGCTGCATGTATCTGCTATTTGGCTACTGTGGGCTGCTAGCTGCTCCACTGGCGACCACTTCACGGCGAGTGCCTGCAGGACGCTCGGCCCATGCCTGCCGGTCAGACTGCCCACCGTGACCGAGCCACTCATCATATGATACGAAACCTTTAAGAATGAGTGGACCCTATGTCCCGAGAGCACAATGGTTTCTTACCACAGTGAATTGCGTTTGTGGCCCTTCCTCTAATAACAATGGCCGTTTTGTTGTCCGGTAACCTGTAAGCCGGCACAGCTTGGCATCATGCATACATTGAACAGCATGGGTCACCAGGAAGCCCCCGGAGGATATGTGCGTGACTTGTGCACCTTGGCAGGTATTTAAAGATTCAGCCTTTGCGTAACACTGCTGGCATGAAAGGCACTGCGATTGCACAACCATTCGCCAGGGTTGTGTACAATGTGCATAATGATGTTGACGCACAAAGGTGTTGTTGCCGATGCACTGACAACATACATGTGTCCGCATGCACAGGTAGCGTTCAACGGTATGCGCCTTCCCCTGAACGACCTCGTGGTCTCCAAGCGCTGCCCTCACAAGCTGGGTCGTCTGGTGCTAGCCTGCTGGGAGATGGATCCGGACCGACGGCCGGCGGCTGCGGAGACAGTGAAGGAGCTGGCGCTGATCCTGGTCAGTAGTGAAAAGGGGGCGGATGAGCGAGACAAGTTCGATATACATAGCTGGGAAGCTGCAGGCAAAGGAGGGGCCGGTATTGCGTATGTATAAGTAAGAGATATTGCGTATGGTCGTACACTCCTTTAATCGCCGGCTTTCATGCTTTCGTGCACGGCGCTTGGGACGGCCCCAAAGGTCCTAGAGGTCTTGGGTCTTGGTTCTGCGCATCCTGCATTCAACTTGCTGCTGTCTCAACACCCACCTAACCACCAGCCATAGTACCAGTAGCTTGTCAATCATGCATGCCGCCGCTGTATTGTGCACTGCTGCACCCTGCTTGCCTTTCCATTCCACATAAGTTCCCTAACACACATGCGCCGTGCATGTCGTTCCCTGCATGCATTCAAATACGTCTCTATGCCTCAGCAACTTCAGCAGCAACACCAGGCGCAGCTGCAGCCACCATCCCTGGCCAACCCGCCTGCCCTGCAGCAAGGTCAGCAGCTTCAATTCAAACAGCAGCTGGTGCAGTCCGTACTGGATAGGACAGGACAGGAAGGCGGCGGTGGCCCTTGTTTGCAGCTACCGACTGCTCCTCGGGCTGAGTTCACTGCTGCAGCCGCTGCTGATGCTCGGGATGGTGATGTTGCCCTTGTCCCGCTGGAGAACGGATCGCGGCAGTCCATTATCCGGGTATGGCTCCCGGATATCAGCGAGGAAGACCTTCGGGGCGATCCCTCATCTTCCAATTCATTATCGCAAACAGGAGGAGCAGCTCGAGCAGCAGCAACAACAGTGGCCTAGCTATCTCGCTGTGGTGGACCAAGGGCGGCTGCAGGAGGGGGGGATATATACTTTATTTCCCAGGTAGACACGCGTGCACTGTCTTCACAGTAAGTTATCTGCGGCATCACAACACTGAACAGTTAGTTACTTGTTGGGTCGCTAATCAGCAGCGCGTGTTTGTGCTCTTTCTCACGGCATGCCTCCCACATCAGTCATTTCCCTTGTTCGATGAATAAATGGGGCATGTTTGACATTGGTGGTGAATGACGCGGGTATGTGTAATCAAGTATGTGCAACTAGTCGGAAGCATCATGCGTGAATGGCTGCATCAGGATAAACCTGCATATTAAGCAATGCACGTGAGCGGCAAAATGCTTTCCTCAAGGCAAGAGGCTGGACGGGGCCTTCGTATCTTCCTCTTGAGCCGTCCTGTATGTGCACACACTAAGAATATATGATAAGTGCTCAAGGGCTGTTGCAAGCAGGCATAGACGGCTGGACAGCTGCTAGCGGCCGGCCGGACTATAGGGGTGTATCGCCATCCTTGTGCATGTTGTTAGGCGAGCTGCTGTGCGCGTGGCACCCGCTGGAGCGACTCCAGAAAGATAGCTGATGCATGGCCAGCTTCCTGTAGCAGTTACAGAATGAAAACAACTTGGGCACCCTTGTTTGCCGGGGGTGCAGAGTTACCAAATGACAATGGGCCCGGGTTCCACCCTGCCCTGAGCTCCCCGCTGTGTGCCGTCTACTTGCACCGGTACTGCCCTTCGAGCATGAGAGGCATCGGCATGGGGGGTAATGCTTGCATGCGGGTATCATGTAAAAGGAGGATTCCAATTCGCAAATGGCAAGGCAAATGGCGGGAGGGGGTAGCACGTGCGCCTGCTGGCTGCATGCCGTTGCATGCGGCACCCTTGTGCTGATGCCCAGCCGTCGCATGCCGCCACTTTTTCCAACACATGAAGTAGTCCGGTACGAGGTTAAAAACACGTATAATTGTTAGGTGTCCTGGCTTGCTTCAACATCTGCTTGCTGCCACCAAAGCCGGCGGAAAGCTAGACATTTGTGGGGTGTAAGGTAGCTAGATTTTTACTTGCATAAATGCGGCAGGGCTATCTGGCGGGATATAGGATATTTGCAAGCACCTCTATGCGGCGGTATGTGTCTCGGCATAATGCACATGTTCGAATGGTACTGCTGCATATGCAGATGGATCCTTAATCAATTCCATTTCTCTTGTTGATGCATTGTTTCAGTAGTTTGGGGCGGTTAGCTCGAAGATCGGTAAGGTCATGTATTTAAACTCGAAGTCCGACGCTTTGCTTGGTAATGCACGATGCACAGCACGGCTTCCACAGGGCCGCTCGTCCGTTAATTCGGTGTTTACATCGAGCTTGCGTCCGTCCACGTGGGCTGTGTCCTTGTGGAGATCACAAGACGCCTTGCATTATCGGGTTGAAGGTTCGAATGGTTATGAAGGTGCAATCCTATTTAGGCCCATCTAGCTGCGGCGGTAATGGAGGGGGGATAATGCGTGGGTAAGTGCGTGATATACGTGAATAAATAGCAGTGCCCTTTAGATTTCGTGGAGCCCTGTTGCGTTTCCAAACAGTAATTTTGGTATTTATGTCACGAGTTACATTTCTTTCCTTTATTTGGCGGTCCACACAACATTAGCAGGGCCTCTTATTCGTCGTACGCAGTCTCATGCTGCCGTTAAAGGGGCCGCGCAATTTCTGTACGTGCGCATATGAGCCTTCTGGCTCTGCTCTAACTAGCTGTTACTTAGACGCGGCAGGAGGGAAGCAACAAGAGCTTCTAAGTTAGGGTCTGAACGGTCGCCTGTCGGCTTGTCAGTTCGGTGACACCGATCGCCGGAGCATCTTACAAGTAGCTGTTCACGCCTATACGTCGGCATTCTGCCTAAACCATCAGGAGCTGTTCGCTCTTATTATTTTTACATTCTGCGGTGTAAGGCCCAATCCCAAACGCTCCCATTTTATATTTGTGCGTGTAGTTGCTTGGAGCAACGAAACGCCGGGGCGGGTGGACGAGCAGGGTATGTGGTTCGGTGCTGGAAACTTACAGCTAGGCAGGACCACCTACACGCAAAGCAATAATGTGTCATCATCATCATCATCATCCTGCCCATCAGCAGCGACCCACATACGTGCCTTAGTGGAGATTATATGGTATGAATGTCACATGTCCATCTATTCTTGCACATATGTATTGAGGCAGAACAGGAAGCAGGGGCTTAGCCAGGATATCGTGATGTGCATGTGAGGCCGCAACTCGCCTATCTAGGCAATAATAAGAGTAGATGTCCACGTCCTATCCACTGTGCACGCCTTCAACAACGCATTCTCCTTCATGCACAGATCGCCTGGCATGCTGGATAGGGATGGTTGCTGTAGCAGCCGGTACACAGTACGGTGCTATAAATACGCGCAGAGCGCGACCACCAGCAACTCGAGAGACCTTTTCAGCGGTCGGCTACTACATTTGGTATCGAGACCTCGTGTATAATCACGAACCTGAAGTCGACGGTTCAATCCCCACCGACCACGTTCGAGTGGTATATCGGGTGTGGCGACTCAGTGAGCGAATATCGCACCAAAAACTATATAAGTAGCCGAACCGACTGGACTGTCTCTGTGCCTGAAAAACCTGAAGGCTAGGCGCATGAAGGGGGACATGACGTGACGTGGGCTTGGACACCCCACTGCCCGAGGGTCGGCGAAGGTAGGCACAGGCTGGTGGTATACGAGGCTCTAAGGGCCCGAGACGGTTCCCTTCAAAGGGGGGGGAATGTAGCAGCCGGTACACAGTACGGTGCTATAAATACGCGCAGAGCGCGACCACCAGCAACTCGAGAGACCTTTTCAGCGGTCAGCTGCTACAGTTGCACGCGGGTTTGGTTGCTCGTAGGAATGCTGAGTTAGCGATGCTCTGCACTCGATGTTTCAAGTGTAATACCATGCAACACCCTGCACTTCAAGTGCACGCGCCCGATGGCAGAGAATTTTGGAGTATGATATGTATCCTTTCCAATGCATGTAATGCATGCCAAGACATTTAGCCGGTTACTTGCTTTGGATGTTGCGTAAAGCACAAAGCTACCTCAACAGCTTTATGTCCTATATATAGCCTTCACGGCTTGCTGAACAATTGCGTTCGAGGTTCCCGAAAGGACAGAGCGAGGCAGAAACGGCGCTGCCAAGGGCCTTATTTATTATTGCCTAGGGCCTTACACTACTGCATGCCGCTGCTCTCAGAGTGGCAGCAGGGCCGCGTGTGCACCGAAGCCCGATCTAGCCCACACTGCGCGGTCAAAGAGCATGCAGCGCTATCCAGTGCGGCCGCACTGGCACAGCCGAAAGAACTGACACACAGCACTAAGCGAACCGCGTCCGCTTGACATCCGCCCCGAGGGCAAATTTGCTTCAGGTTTAAACCTGAAGCATCAGCGACGCACAAACCACAAGCAGTACCTTACTGCTAGGGATAGCCAACTGGGACGGCGGCCGTTAATCGTTGTGCAAATTTACTTGGAGAAGGCGTTTCACAAGGCGCCGCGGGAGGTAATGTGGCTTCGTTTGCAGGAGAGAGGGGTTGAAGGGTCCATGCTGCAGTCGCTGATGCGGGCATACGACAAGGTTATATACAATGGTCATCAAGACGAATGGCAAGACTGAGGGCGAATTTGAGTGAAAACAGGGTGTGAAACAAGGCTGTCCGCTGTCAACTGAGTTGTTTGGACTTTTCATTGGAACTCTTGCGGACGTCATCGATATGCATGACGGTGTTAACACCAGGGCACGGCCGGAGGATGCACTGAAGGTTGGCAATGAGCGAGCGTCCATCCTCCTCTATGCTGATGATGTTAGTCTCCTGGCAACGACACCGGGGCGCATGGTGGAGCTGCTCAACATCGTGGACATGTTCTGTGACGATTTTGGGATGCGGCCAAATGTGCCGAAATGTGAACGCCTCGTTACCTTGTGCGTCGCATTTACCCTGTGCAGGAGTGGGCCCACATCCTCCACGGGGGAGCTGGGGACACGGGAATAGTTGCCAAGCGAAAGCAGCCTCGTCTCGCTGTCAAGCCCACTGGGCAAGCCAAACCCCCTACATGCCCGATCTGCACGGACTGCCCTTTGCCCTCCTGGTCCGATTTAGGCCTGGGCAGTGTGATCATTATGTGGGTGTCGTGCAGGGCGAGCAAATCGTGTTTGACGTAAAAATGGGCTAGGTCGTTGAACCTCAGGAGACCCGCGAACATGACCGATATAGCGGCTACCATCATCAGGTCTGGCAGTGATGCATCCGGCCCAGCGAAGTGAGCGGTCAGCGTGCAGACATGCTCTGGTTGCACGCTTCGGTTACCGTAGTCCCACTTATAATTCATGCCTGATGATTTCGGGACACCCTCAAAAATAGCCCTGGAATAAATTTGCGATTTTTGAAATTCGGGGTCGCGCCAGCAATAGTTTGCAAGTACGGCACAAAAGTTTGGGGTCGCCGCAGGCTCGGCGTTTCTGCCGTGCTGCATTCCATGCAACAACTTGTTTCTTGAGGAACACCTACGTACTTGAACACCAAAACATATCAAAGCTAAAGCCGTATCATGGCTGATTCCACGTCTTCTTGCACGCCAGCTGGTTGTACCTTGCAAAAAACGCTCTAATGCCTCAGGACATAATCTAGGGCCTTGAAAGCCGGACCGTTTGCTAGGGGATGCGCCATGCGACAGCTTGTGAAGCCCGAAGTCGAAGAGTGTCGACTGCCTTGAGCGAGCAGCTGCGGCTTTCAATTTACAAGTGATAAATGGAATACAAATATTTCTCCGCGTTTAACTGGGCATTTAGACCTCCTACGGGTGAGGTTGTTGCGGAAGAAACCTCTCGGAGCATCTCGTGAATTCGGGGACGCCATTCTTATGCGAGCTTGCGTAAGTAAGCTGGGTTAGTTGGGCGTAAGGCCCAATGCGTAACTGTTAGACTAACTGTTTCGCA